CGTGCATTCTCCGAGATTCGCTTCCGATCGGCTTTGGATGCCTCGAGAAAGCTCTGAAATCGGCAAAGAGAGCACCAGGAGGGGCCCTGGCGCGCACGTAGGTTGGGCGAGGAGGATGGTGCTGGAGGGGAAATTGGAGGGGGGGCTGGAGGAGGGTTGGAGACGGAGTTGGAGGGGGGATAGGAGCGAGGGTTGGGAGAAGGTTGAAGGGAGGTTTGGAGGGAGGGTTGGAAGGAGCCTTGGAGAAGGGGTTGGAGGAGAGCGGGAGCGAGGGTTGGAAGGAGGGTTGGACGAAGGATTTTAGGGATGGTTGGAGGGAGGGTTGGAGAGGGGGTTGGAAGGAGGGTTAGAGGGAGGGCTGGGGGCGAAAATGATGAAGGGAAAGACTTTCAGCAGGTTGGATGGCGAAGATGCTGGATAGGTGGGGGCGGAGAGAGGGAGGGCGAGTTTTTCCTTCTCCTCCTGCCCCTCCTCTCCGGAGGTGGAAGCGGAGGGATGGGGGCGGAGGGGGGGAAGATGAGCGCCCTCCCGTCCGCCTATTCCTATTCTTCGGATGCGGATAAAGAAGTAGAGGCGGAGGCGGAGACGGGGGGGGAGAGGCGGAGGCGGAGGCAGGGGGGCGGAGAGAGGGAGGCAGTATCTGGAAAGAGATGCAGGACGAGGAGGGACAAGGCGACCTTCTCCTCCGCCTCCTCCTCTCCCTCCTCCTCCCCCTGCTCCCCCCCCCCCCCATGCCCCCCCCCCCCCCTCCTCACCTGTTCTCCTCTCCTCCTCGCCCTCCCCCCCCTCCCCCCCCCCCATCCCCCTCCCCGCTCTGGGCGCCTGGAGATGCGTGGGGCGACCGAATTCCCGCCCCCGACGGTTTGGAAAGTAACTCAGCCGACCTACTTACGATTCCGCATTCCAGGCCCGAATTACTTTCGAAGTCACTTTAGAGTTACGTGTGGATTACTTTTTCGCCCACGGCGATTAAAAGTAACTCCCCAAGTAGGTCGGCAAGTAACTCCCGAAGTAGGTCGCCCCGAAAAGTAACTCCCGAAGTAACCCCCAAAGTGGCTCCAGACGCGCGGGCGTTGAGAAGTAAGTCGCCAGCCCTTTCAGCCGCCCCAGCCTCTCCGAAACGTAAGTCCCAAAGTAACTCCCAAAGTAACTCAGCTGTCGATTTACCGATAAGATCCGACGATCAGACATCGGAGAGGTAACTCAAAAGAAACTCCAAACTAACTCAGAAGTAACGCAAAAGTAACTCAAACGTGACTCCTACGTAATTCAAACGCAATTCAAACATAAATCCAAACTAAGTCAAACGTAACTCCAAAGTAACTCCAACGTAAACCCAAAGTAACTCCAACGTAACTCAAAATTAACTCCAAAGTAACTCCAAAGTAACTCAAACGTAACTCAAGCTTACCCACAGCAACTCAAAATAAACTCAAAAGTAACTCCAAAGTAGCTGAAACGTAACTCAAGCCCCCCTAAAGTGATTCAAAAGTAACTCAAATGTAACTCCAAAGTAGCTCCAAAGTAATTCAAAGGTAACTCCAAAGTACCCCCCCCCTTCAACCCTCCTTCCAGCCCTCCCTTCCCTCGACCCCCCCATCCAACCCTCCCACCAACCCTCCTTCCAACCTCCCTCCGGCCCCCCCTCCAACCCCCTCTCCAACCTTCCCCCGACACTCCAACTCCTTCCTCCAACCCTCTCTCCAACACTCTGCGCAGCCCTCCCTCCAAACCCCCTCCACACCCCCTCCAACCTTCCCTCCAATCGCCCCTCCAACACCAGCCTCCTCGCCCGACCTATAAGCGCGCCAGGGCAACTCTCGGCGCTCTCTTTGGCGATCTCAGAGCCGTCTTGAGGCGCCCAGGGCCGATCGGAAGTGAAACGGTGAAAATGAAGGCAGCATTGGTTCCCTTGCGTTTTGGAAGGACGGGGCATCTCGGAGGTATCCTTTGGAGGCTCTGTGGCCACTTCGGGCCGTCTTGGAACGGTCTTGGGGCCTCGTGGATGCACCTTAGAGCCATCTGGAGCCATATTGGGGTGCATTGAGCCATCTTGGAGGCAATGGCGGGCTCTCCGAGGCCATGTTGGAATCATCTCGGGCCAGAAAGGACCACCTGACACCTCGAGATCCCCTCCGTCCACATCCAGAGGGGGGGCGCATGGGAGGGGCAACCCCTGCCCGAAGGGGAAGACGGTAGGGGTGCAATAACTAACTCGTGGAACCACCTACGCCCAGAGGGCTGGCGGGGTCCGTGGGCCGTCTTGGGAAGCCCTCATCCCACCTCATTGTTGTTTTTTTTTTTTCGTTCTGGGAGGGGCCCATGGAGTGGGCCGAGGGCAACGTAAAAGAAGCATCCCCAGGGAAAGTTCGTGCGCGCGGCGAATGCCACTTCGCCAGAGGGCGGGGGAGACAGACAGCCACCGCGATGAGTGAGTGTGCGCGACGATGCCTTCCTAGCTTAAAAGCACCGTTGGGCCAACATGGCAAAGTATTTGTCAAAGTAAGTGGTCGGGTAAGTCAGCCCACGTCGAAACGCAGGTCATGCGCGCAAGCAAACGCATCCCAATCTTTCAACAACGCGCGCGAGTTCGACGAGGGCCTCCGAGAGAGGCGCCCAAAGAGCTGCGGGGGAGTCGTAAGGAAGGGATGTAAAGGGACGGGATGAGGGCGAGGACGGCGGACGAAGAAAGCAGACTCAGGATAGGGAAGGGAGACCGTCTTCCATCCACACCCCATGTTTCTTCTCCTCCCTTGTCTCTGCTTTCTTCCTCACCCCTCCTCGTCCTTCCCATTCTGGGACAACGGCAAGAGAACTCCGATTTGGGACAACGGCGAATCGTGACTACGAGAACGTGGTTTGAATTCCGACCTATGTATCAGAACGCATGGACCATCTTACATACTTACTTTGTTAGTTTAGGCCGACCCGAGGGTTACTTGACCAAATATTTGGGCACTTACTTTTCCAAATGAGCCGCAAGTTACTTTTGAGCCACTTTAGGGTTACTTTTATTATGTCTCTTAGACGCCACTGTTCGCGGGTCAGACCGACCCTAATACTACGAGCACGATTACTACTACTAAAACTACTACTCATATTACTGCTACTACTACTACTACTACTACTACTACTACGACGACGACGACGACGACGACGACTACTACTACTACTACTACTACTACTACTACTACTACTAGTACTAGTACTAGTACTAGTACTACTACCACCACTGCTGGTACTACTACTACTACTACTACTACTACTACTACTACTACTACTACTACTACTACTACTACTACTACTACTATTACTACTACTACCACTATACTACGACTACTACTACTACTACTACCTACTACTACTACTACTACTACTACTACTACTACTACTACTACTACTACGGCTACGACTACTACTACTACTACTACTACTACTACTACTACTACTACTACTACTACTACTACTACTACTACTACTACTACTACTACTACGACTACAACGTGTAATACGATTGCGTCTACAACTACGATTACGACGACGACGCCCACCATGGGTCGTACATCCAAGCGCCAACCGTTCTAGCCCGCCTAGATCGGCATTCCAGCCTGCCCAATCAAGTGCCGTGCACCCGTGCCTCATTGCCAAGGGCGACCACTACCAGGACCTCACCGCTCCCACATCCCAACTCCTCTCCATGGGAACAGTGGGGGTGTGTAGTCGTCGTCAACGTTTTCAAACGCTCACAAGCATTGGGAAACGTTCAAAAACCTCCTCGACTACAAATAGAAGTGACCCTAGGCTGGACTAAAATTTGGTGCGCGGCTTCAGGATCCAATCCAGTACTGCCACGCCGCATCAACGATCGGCAGGAGGCCATTCGAAAAATTTGTGCGCCAGCGGGCAGCATCGGAATCCGCCAACTGGACTCGAACGCCCCGAATGGTACTTCGAAGGTGCTGCGGAAGCAGACGATGCCGGGGGGCACCACGATGAGGTCTGGCACTGCCGAGCCGCATCGCGATGCAATCTGACCAACTCCGGCGTCATGGTTAAAACCCGCTCCATCTGAGGGACGGGAATATGTTTGAACATCACATTGTTTGGGAAACTTGCAAGAGTAAAGATCCCCATGGGTTCAAAAAAACATACTCCAACATCTCAAGCAACTCAAACATTCAAAAATATCAAGACATAGTTATTCAAACCGGACAACTTGGGATGTGGGCTCGGACTCGGGACTCGGGACTGGTCCTGGGGCGGAAAACGCGCCGTCCGGACGGCCGGCCCCCATTCGCGAAACCAATGCACATTGTATGGTGCGCCGCGTATTCTGCACTGTCGATTGCAGGAGGGGGGTTGGGGGAAACCTGGCGCGCTCAGATGCGAGCGCAATCGCGCGAGAAGGGTGTCGACGGGAAGTCAAGCTCAGTCCAAAAGAAAAATCACCCGACCCCACTGCGGCGAGCACCAAAGGTCACTGTAGCGAAGGGTCGCTTTTAGTTGTAGTAGACCTTCGGGCATGGACTAACCCTGCTCAGCGCAAACCCGGCTCAGTCATTTTAGAAAAACCTGCGCTGCAATCTTCTGGGGGGGGGGCTGCCCAACCCAGCTCAGCCAACATGTAAGGGCACCTCCAGGCAGGGCCGCCAGCGGCTCCCAAACCTGGCTCGGCCCAAACCTAACCTTTGTAGGAGATCCTGCAGGACCCAGCGCTCTGGCTGAGCTCCGTTCGCGGCGATTCCCATCAAATGCTGGCTAAAACCTCTCTCCCCTGAGATCCCACGTAACTAAAACTAACAACATCGTGAAACATCGCGACTGGAGCCCTGGACCCAATCTTTCTGCGTTTGTTTTCGGACCGGATCGATCTGCGACGCTTTCTGGGCCAGAAGCTGGGCGAAAACGCCCGGCTCGAAAAACATGAGACGGCAAGATCTCGGGGCCCACCCTGGCCCGGGATCTCCCATGGACCTCCCGTGGGGCACCCCTGGGCCCGCCTTGCCCTTGGCTGGAGGCGGCGCGGCCTTGCCCTTGCCCTTGCCCTTCGCGGGCGGCGGGTCGGGGGCCTCCCCGCCGGATTCCCTCGGCCGTTCGGGAAGGAGGTCGATGCAGGCAGAAAGGCAGGAGGGAGAAGCTGAGGAGGCTCCGTAAGCGGCCGAAAAGAAAGCAGAGGCACAGAGAAAAGGATGAGGAGGTGGACTGAGTCGAAAGTGAGCCTGGTAACTCAAATAGGGCATATAGCCTGGCAAATTGCATCCATCGCTCTGCTGTGAAGGTACAGTATGAGGGGTGGATGGGTAAGATAGGATAAGATCGATGTAATGATCTTTCCAGCACATAGCGAACACTCGCGGTGTCCGGGCAAATAGGGCGCGCGTGCCTTGAGCCCAAGGCAGCGGCGCGCGAGCTATGCCCCCGATACTGTAACATCTCCCAAAGAGCTACCCTTAAAGTCGGGAGGGGAGGAGACGGAGAGCATAGTCGCACGCAAAGATCGCGCGCACGACTGTTTGCAAAGAAAAGAAAACAGTGCGTACAGTCTGGTGAAACACCAGACTGTAAGGCGAGTTTCCTCGCAAAGTATTTCACGCAAATACAGGACAGCCCCTTCAAACAATGAAGGGCTATCGGCTTAGTTAGAAGTAAGCCAAAATTAGGCCATACCTCACCAAGCAAATGTGTATTTAGGCAAAGAGCCTGAGTTGTACAAAGCCGGCTCGTTGCCAGGCGTGAAAGATAAGGCTCGTTTCCGAGCATCTAAAGGGGCGCCTTTATAGTAGGCGCCCGCGCTGGCAAACTGGACCGCGAGGGCAACAAGGACAGACTAAAATTGATTAGACTTAGGTTTGTCTCTGTCCTCGGGACCCCGAAAGGGAACAAATTGCTTCACGTCATACTTAAATGACTGAGTGCCTGACATCACTTCCAGAAGCAGCTCCCGATCGATGCTTCCCTTTGTATGCCCATCTGCGGTCATATCCCTAGTATCACACCATTGCACATTATGTACTATACCTATATCCATGAGCTCACGTATCCAGCTGATATGTCCAAGCAGAGTCCGTTCTGTAGGTATTTTGAGATCCCTGCTTGATAAAGATTTGTAGACGGACTCAGCGTCTATGGTAAGAGAGACTTTGATAGCAAGGCCTCCAACTTCACGCATGTCTCGTAGTTGTCGTGGAGTCAAAGCCCCTGCCTTAAGCTCGTGGAGAGTAATGAGCGTAGGGTAACACTCATCAAGGTTATGTGCGGCTGCAAGTGCCTCCGCAGCATAACTGGACCTCACCTGTAATCGGTGTGATTTGCATAGTCCGTCACAGAGGTGAACGACGGACTTGCCTTGAGGCGAGTTTCCTCGCCGTAGTACGTTGGCCCCGCGTATGCCGTAGCCCTTGGTCTCGTCATCCTCCTCCCCGGTAAGCTTCCGATACCCCGAATCGCTATGGATGTCAACTTCATTCGTCGGCTTCATCCGAGGGAAGGTGATACGTTTCGGGCTGCTGATCAGCTTTCGCGTCACAGCATTCAAACGTCTGACTTGCAAATTGGTGGGCTCTTGAATTTTCTGAAGAGAGACCACATATACCATGAGCCAGATTTGGGTAAGAAGGGCATAGGCGAGGGCTCCTCGCAGGCTGACGAACATGTCGGTAATGAGTTTCGTGGCTTTGGCGTCGGCCGCCGCTCCTGTAAGTTCTGGGTGTGTGATAGGACGTAGTTGTTTAATGTACTCGTCCTGGTCCATGATCACATCTCCCTGATCATTCTTAGTGTAGCGAACGGCGCAGTTCGTATATGTGTGCTTGTTGAGCTTGCATTTGCCAAACACCTTTTCGACACGTTGTACATAGTCGTCTATATTTTTCTCTAGACCTGTCATATTAATATCATCGACATGTTTTGCCGTCAGAAGGTCTTGGCTGAATTCAAATTCAGGATCGTAGCTGGTCGGTGTAAGTCCTATAGCTCGTGTGGTCGTACGAAGTTTGAGAGAGAACGCTCTTGGAGCGTCCTTAGTACCCGTTCCTGGTTTGAGGCATCTAAGACAGTGTCGACTTTCGTCGTAGGATGAGAAGCCGGGTAATGTACGAAGTACCTGAGCGCTTCCTGGTGGAAGAGTAAAGCAAACCATGCGAGTTTCCTCGCCGGTGGCATGGGCAAGTTCCTCATAGGTCAAACCCTTGAGGAACGCCTTATCGATATCCATGGATGCTAAGATCCACTCTGGATGGCATGCCGCTTCACTTGCCAGGAGTCGTTGGGACTGCCTTCGGGCGGTTCCCGAGAATGTTTCCACATCAAAAGCCTCAGTATCCATAAATCCACGAAGGACCAGTCTGAGACGAATGGTTTTAACGTTCTCGGTACCCATCTTTACGAACTTCCACTTGTATACATATCTGGATGTCATGATGTTGGAAGCTTTGGATAAATCGTACATCTCAAAGCATCGATTATCAATCCAGATTTTGAGCTCAGTATATAAGGCTTCACTAACCTCCTTTGGATGTGCTGCTATGTCGGCTTTGGTTAGTAGATCATCTTCTTTGACAACCACAGCACGTTTAGCAGCAGAGGATACATATACTCTCATCGTTGCGACCATATCGGTATCGAGCTGTGCAAGTTGAGTCTGATCCAACACTATTTTAGACATTTCTGATGTAAAGCATAGTTCAACGTAAGGACCGTATTCATCACTGTCTAGAGAGTAGCTCTCGTCGGCTGTGTTTGAACAAAGAGAGACTAGACAGGACTCACATGATTTCGGCTCGTCTCCGAGCATATCTGATGATATAATATCATCTTCGTCCACAAATGCTGAAACCAAAACACACTGGTCGGGCAGCATAGTTGTTGGGACGCAATAAAGATAATCATCGGTAATCGTCGTAGGATGAAGGTCCATACGTAGCTCGTCGTACCACTCTTCCAGCATCATAGCTTCAATATTGTGTTCCTCATTTTCCTCATAGATTGTCGACAGACGGCCTTCGCTCGGCGATGAAGCGTCTGGTGTGTCTGGAGAAGGCCTGTTTCCAGGCGACTCGTGTTCTCCAGACGTGTTGCTTGGATGCTGATATTTAGCCAAATCGTCGTGAAATCCTAAGGAAGGGACACGTGAAGTCAAGCATTGAATAAGTCTGGAGTGAGTGCTACCAGTGATCTGAGAAATGTTTAAGCCAGTGCCCACGCATTCGTAATAGTGGAACGCCGGGCTGATGTCGTTGTCATAGTGGATCAGCGTAGACCCGGTGGCGTACTTTACTGCAGGTAAGCTTGACACACTCTTAGCCAATCGAACTGCTACTACATGTTCTACTCGGAAGTAATTCCGTGCGAGATACTGTAGTGCTAAGTGTACGCGCGGGTGAAACTTGCTGTCGTCTGACAGATTAAGGTTTCCCTTGTAATCGGGGATGTACCCGAAAACTTTGGCAGGTTTCCCTGCGCTGAGGTGTGCCACATAAGCAAGGACGGTTTGCATGGCCATATTATCCATGCCAAGTTCCCGTGCGAGGAGACATTCGATGTATAGTGTGTGACGAGCATCAGGATACATCACAATTACCTCACGAGATCCTGCCTTGACAACAATATGTCCTCTTTCAGGCACGTTTCGGATCACCGGGAATGGGCCGTTCCAGCCTCCATGGTCGTCCTTGGTGGCAGTAGGTCGGTGGTAGTCGACCAAATCCCCTGATGAGTAGAGGCGAGCACCATCAGGAGTCGTCTTAGCCCTAAGAGCCCGATTTGTCTTGGCTACAGCAGTAGCCTGAGTTATGGCTTCGAGGCTGACTTCCCTTACACGACGTTCTCGTTCGTGTCCTGAAGTCTCGGGTCCCTTGGGAAAGTCAAGGGTATCGAGATCAGGAAGGAAGGAGGGCTGACGTCCTGTGTGTGCCTGATATGGCGATACTCCGTTATAAAACGTAAACGCATTAGTAACGAAGATGCCTTCCGCCAATACTCTAGTGAATACAACAGGGATGTTGTGTCTATTCAATTCTTCCTCAATCATGTGGAGGACGCCTCTGAGAATGCCGTTTCGTGACTCAATTGAAGTCGCGTGTTGGCCAGGAGCACGGATACGAAGTTCCGTGCCCTTATTGGCCATCATGGTTTTAGCGGCATCGTTATTCAGGGCGCCTTCTCCGTCTGAGTATAAAACTTTGAAGGGTCCGTGATAGGCAATCCAGCAATAGTGGTAGGCGTCGATGATAGTGTCACGTTCTCTGTCGGAAATCTCTAGGCCTGCTGCCAGGCGAATACAACGGTCCATAATATGAAATATGGTCCGTTTCTTGTAAAACATGAGGTCCATTTCCCCTTCATCGAGCCAGTTACCAGGGAGGCTTACCGATGGTAATGTTGAGTTTCCTGGACGTTCCCATGCTCTACATTCCCGACAGGTATCGCAGATTTCCTTGATCATGTTCAGTCGAACGTTATCAAGCCCCACCTTTTCGAGGATTAGCCTCATCTTTGGCTCCTTCGCATGATACCATCGCAGATGCAGTTTTCGGAGTTCCTTTTTCACAACATGGGGTTCGTGACTACGGAGACTCTGTAGACTGTGATGGATGTCAAATCTCGTCCAGTCGGGTAGTCGTGGAGCCCCAGTGCCGGTGGAGGCAAGAGGGTTCCTTGTAGCTCTCCGTAGTTGATCCCCTGTGTTGACTGCGTCTGGAGGTGGTGGTACGCCTTGTAGACGTCCGCGGCGGGCCGCTACCTGTGGCGTGTCACTAGAAGACGCAGAAAGCGTGTTTCCACGCTCGGGGGCGTCTCGTAGTAGGTCGTAGCTGCTAGTACCAGATGTCGGATCGACGTTACCGAAGGATCGTGGTCGTGGTGGCCTGGCGTGTGCGCCTTGGCGGCCACCTGAAGCTGAAGCTTGGCCCTCACCAGGTTTAGGTAAGGGTTTCCACCAAGCTGGCACGGCTTTGCCTTCGGGGTCGTGGTCGTCTGGTAGTTTAAGTGGTTCAGCAAAACGACATTTACCAGGTTCGGTATCAAGGTGGTTCTTAACCCCCTTGCT